AATTGTTTCATCGCATTAATACCTGTTATGGGTTGTATTATTTTTGCATAATAACGTCTAATTAATAATAGTACATTTATTGTCTGTACATTTATATAAAAAACTCTATTGCAGGGTCGCCAAGTACTGCTATATTATAGACAAAGAGGTACAAGGGTACCAGAACACCCAAAAGTAACTGATGTCAAGGTGTACAATACTTTATTACATGGATATGCAGCTTCGGTAATTTATTACAATTTTATTGCTTATAATATACTGTACAATATCTTTTCTTTACCTTTTTTGGAAGGATTTTTTGAAAGGTAACATTGTGTGATGTGAAATTACAACAGCAATTTTCTGACAAAATTTCATACTCCATGTTCAAGAATCTTGACTCAAGATACTTTTGGCGATTTGTAGTAACAAGCTACCTTCCACCTCAGGGTCAGCTGGAATACACAAAGGAGTTATTAACTTTCATGCGCGAGGACGAGGTAGCGCCTTCTGCGCAGTCGTATGCGGCCGTGTTTGAGTGCATCGAGCGCAGCCCACTTGTGGATAAAATCTCGGTGCTCAACTTCTATACTAAGGAAATGCAGGAACATGTAAGTTATTTACAATTTGTGCCCAGAAAATAACACTTATCCTCTTATGAATATCATTTAAATTAGTACAGTATTATTAATGTAGATTAGGATACCCAATTTAAGCAATCTCTTAACAACAGTTGTGGCATAGAAGTACTGATGCAATGATCTATTCTACTTTATTCATTCAGACAGACTGCAAAATTTTTCCTACATAATTATACTTATACATAACACAACCATACAGAGTATCTTTGTTTTCAGAATATTACACTAAACGATTTATTAGACAAAACCAAATTCATATCTGATCAAAAAAAGACTGTGCTCAAGGCGATAAGAAGAATCCACCCTCACTTCAAGCCTGCGTACACGCCGCCTATTCTTGATTACAACTGCCCTTTGCTTGATGAACTGAAGCTCGACCAATTTGAAAACAGACAAGGGTTAATGACGTCGTCTGCTGAAGGATTGCTTGACTTTCAAGAAATTAAAGAAATGGGAAAGAAACAATTAGATATTGAAACCAAAGGGTACATTGAAGTACAGAATATAGATGTAAAAGATGAGACCAATAGCAATGTGAAGTTTTATGTAAGTTTCAAATTTATTGTTAGGTTTTTTTTATTTTCTTAATAATTATCTGATCAAAAGAGCGTTTTAGTGCGAGTTCTAATTTTACAGCAGGTGTAAGAAATGAATCTAACGTCCAATTTTTGTCGGCAGCGCGAGAAACTACAACAGACAGAGTCTGAATGGCGAGATGTAATCAAAGAGGCCTTCATCCGAAACCTATGCACGCTGCGCAGTCAGAGCAACGCATCCCACTCGGCCATCACGCTCTACCCTTACCTTAAAGTGCTTGAGGTGAGGATTTTGCTTATTTTTGCAGTGTTACACTATTTACAAAAGCTAAACAAAATATTTCTGCGATACCTAACTATGCGGACCATCTAAACGTTCATTTCTACAACGTTGATGAGTATACGTAAACTTTTTTATTTCATTTCAATTCAGACGAACTTGTTATACTAGCGGTTATTATTGTATGCTAGATGAGGAGATGCTAGATTCGATTCTCGGTAGAACCAATCTGAATATGTTCTGGTCTGAGAGTTCTGAGTTGTACCCCGAAGTTAATTTCGTTATTCTAGTAGTACTCATAGTAAATACTCATACTCAGGAAATTCCTTACTGTAACGCCTTGTAATTGTTGTGATTGTCTGGCACACTTATATACGTGCACTGTTAGATGGAATTTGTTTCATTGTATTTAATAGCAGCAGAGTTCCTTGTGAAAGAGTTGGTCCAGGGAAGTACTGCCACCTTAACTATTTCTGCCGCCAAGCAGTAATGTGAGCATTACTGCGTTCTGGTTTTGAAGGGTAAGGGTGCTGGTGAAATTACAGGCACATGGGACTTCTCAACTTATGTCTCATGGTGACTCATGTCTTTGTGATTTAAAGCACTCCAGTGGTACTGCAACTGTGTTCAGTGTGGTGCAGTAGTGCCTGGTGGCGTGTCACTTACCACCAGGTGCGCGACTTGTTCGTCCCATCACTTGTTTCTCATAAAAAAAACAAAACAATGAACAGTGTGCCACTGAGTCACATTCGCGCAGTAAAGAGCTGGAGGCAAAATGTGTCCTTCAAATGATATGAAGAGTGTATCAAAAATGAAGGTTTTTGTCAATTTATTAATAAAAACTGTATTTTCAGGTGGACCAGTTTGTAGATCTGATAATGGGTGAGATTAGCAAGCTTGTGGATGGCAGCGAGACTTACAGCCCCACTTTGAAACTTTTACAACGCGATCTTGGCACGCAAGTGTATCATAAGTGAGGAACACATTTATTTGAATAAAATATTTACAAATTGCACAACCGATCAAACCGTTATTATAGTATTCATTCTCATTAAAAAGGTACCAAATCGAGCAATTCCGTCGCAACGGTGTAATGAGCAAAATCGAACAGATCTACGAGCAGTATTGCGATTGGTACGTGAATAGACGCCCACTAGATGATGAGGCCACCGCGCTCAACCCGCGTCAGGCTTGGCAGGCCCTCATGCACCGCTACAGGGACGGGTCCAACCTGGACTTGGAGGAAACCCAGTGGCCAATGGAGATGCGCCAGAATATCGGGAAGTTCCTCTACAACATCATCATTAACGACGTCAAGATCGATGTGAACATGTTCAAACCGAAAGCTAAGCAGTGAGTATTGATTGCTGTAAATTTAGCAAAGAACCAATTGTTCTACCAACCGTGGACTCGTAAAATTTGTAGTCGCGACTTGAAAATATACGTTATAAAATAATATTTAGTTGTATTCATGAAATTTCGAAATAAGTTGGAGAAAAAAAGATTTGATTTTTTTAAATACCGAGAATTTAAAAACACTGAAGGCATTGTAATATTTGTTTCTGATCGTAGCACGAATTCCACTTTGGCATTTTATAAGCCTCGTTTACACTCGCCATGATTCTACTACGTACAAATGAGACCCTGTGTCAGCGATTGACGGCTGTCTACTTTTTTAGCTGGTCTACTGTACTGTACGGGACTTGGGCAGTTTTGTTTGGTTTTTTCATAACAGGAAGAAACTGCCCGCCGTGTATAAGGTGCACCGGCCGTGGGGCCGGCTGATCCGCCTGGAGCTGAAGCCGCACCCCGCGCTGGCGCGCCTGTGGGCCGTGGCGGCGCGGCCCGGCCTGCGCATGCGCACGGCGCTGCTGCCCACCAGCGCGCCGCCGCTGCCCTGGAGGCACGCCACGGCCGGCGCCTACTTGGCCACTCCGACGCCGCTTATTCGGTCAGCATCCTTGTGTTTTCATTGTTCTACTACTTCTACAGAGGGCAGCACACCAAGCTTCTCATTTATAGATCTCGTTCTTCTTGTTGTGATATTCGAATAAAAATGCATAGCATGATTTGCTGTTGACTGTACATCAGTAGTAACTACAACGTTGTCAAAACATCAACTGGTATTGATTGACATTTGATTGATAATCCGAGAGTTTGTTTTACAACAATTTTCGTACTTTGCACCTTAAAAACGTGGTCATTGTTCATTTTATTAAAAATTTCGTGTTCTTTTCAAACAGCATGCCGTACTACGTGATGAAACAGTGGAAGCTTCTAGAGTCAGCGCCACCTGAAGCGCTGTACCCTGTGCTCGACAGTCTCAACCAGCTAGGAGAAGTCCCATGGCAAGTCAACACGCCCATCCTCGATCTACAGCTGAAAGTGTTCAGGTTACTTTTTCTTACTACTCTATATAACTTACTTACTTTATGTAACATATATAAGATGGAATGGAAGGATAGGTCATACGAACGACTGAACAGATGCTTGGTCACTTGATAAACGATAGTTCTTAATCGTATTGAAAAAAGACCATACTGACAAAAAATAATTTAATTGTTTACGTATGAAAGTTATTGGCTTTTTTTTATAATATCAAGTCACGGGACGAACAATTCATGTGCGTGATGGTAAGCTACACGCTTGCCCATAACAGTTGCAGTGCCATTCAGAGCTTTAAATCGCACAAATTTGAGGGGCACTGTCACGGGGCCCGTCACCCTGAGACATAAGTTGACAAGTCCCATGTGCTTCTAATTTCACCAGCACCCTTACCCTTCAAAACCAGTACGCAATAATGTTGACATTAATGCTTGGCCCAGAAATAGGTAAGGTAGCAGTACTTCCCTGGACGAACTCTTTCACAGGGAGCTCTACTGCTACTAGGTTGGTATGGTTATGACACACTTAGCCAAAGTTGTTATGAACAATACACGTGATATTCATGAATTTGCACAAATCAACTTTACAAGTTTAGGAATGTACCAAAATAATTAACTGTCTGTGCAAACAAAAACTCGTGGAATGTTTGCGGTGCCATCTATCCTCATATTATGGAACTACATATGTGGTACTTGTGAATAGTGGTTGGTTGAATGTACGTTATTATGAAGACTACTAATTAGTAGTCTTTATAATAATTTCAATTGGAATTCCAGATCGGGCGGCAATAAGAAGCTTGATATCCCGCCTCCTGCCTCGTCACTGGACATGTCTCAGTTCGGCACAGGAGACTCTGGCGGCGCAGCGGGCGCCTTCAAGCGCCGGCTGGCTGTCAACCGTGCGAGGGCAGAGATGCACTCGCTGTGGTGTAACGCACTTTATAAACTGTCTTTGGCTAATCATTATAGGTGAGTTAGTGAAATTTGAATTTAACACGCACTGTTAGGTTAGGTTAATAATCAAATTATCGTAAAAAATTCGTCAAAAGATCGTGTCGATCGTTACTAAAAACAGCGTAAAATATGTTTGTATAAATTATTGTAGTTCTTTTTGTGACCGCTAAGGGCGCCGTATGATTTACCATACACATATTGACCTACCAATAAATGGACATTGGGTTCGCGCTTAAAAGTGTCCGCATCTATAGGGCGTTAAAATCTCATACAGAGCGTCAATCGCGCAACAGTCTCCGTTTGTTCGACTGTCAGCGCGGTTGTCAATCATGCAGTACCATATAATAATAACTTGTAAAAATTACTGCAGTAAAGTGTAAAAATGTCCGAAGTTAACCTAACTTCGGACATTTTTTTCGTGGTTTTTGTATTAGACCCGACGTCCATTTGTTGGTAGGTCAATAACTAGACAACTTATATTATAGTCCGTTCCAATCCATTGTACCAAAAAAGTAAACAATCAGATCATTGACCCGACCATAGATAGCTTAGTGACGGCCATCTGTACTACCAACTACAACAAACAAATCGATTAATTTATTGAATAAATCGATTTGTCTAATTGAATCTGTTGGAATGACTGGGTATTATATAATAAAATGGGAATTGCGTTTTCGCTGCTGATTACTATAAAAAAATATGTGATTCTTCAATACTGAGTGATGATATTACATGAGATTAGAATTTTTTTGTTACGTAACCTATAAAAGCAAATTTAAAATTTCCGTAATCTGATTTTAAATCCTTCTTCAAATCATTACACTTAGATATTCGGTCCATTGTAATTAAATTTTCGATTCACTAATCGATTACAAAAAAAATTTAATTGAATTAACCGAATGAGTTATTTCTGTACGACTCTATGTAGCCATAGACAATCCACAAATCTATATAGATATAACCTGTCTTTTGAAGTAACATATTGCAAATAAAATTTTAATATGTTATTCAAATTAATATTGCTGGAAAAAGTGATGAGATATCAAATTGAAATTTTCAAAGTTACTTATGCCATTTATTCAGTGATTGCATTAGAATTTTAACCATACCGGTTTGTTTGCTTTTCTGGTATACTGGATTGGAACAGATTTTAGACGTAAAATGTACATTTTATATGACATAATGTGACTAATTTTATTGTTTATTTGTGAATATGTATAGGATAGTACGCGGGTGAAATAAATTTTTTTTTTTATTAAATGAAATTGTAGTAATATGGCATTATAAATTACTTTTAATTTTATAACATTTTTACTTGCCGATACCTACAACATGTTTTTGTAATAAGGCTAATAAATTAACTGAATATTATTACTAAAATTTTTATACTTCACTTGTCAGTTTGCTGGTCACATGGTGTATTAAATTAATGTGTTAATCAACTACAACAATTATCTGGTATCAAACTAGGGCATTCCCTGCACTATAAGTACCAGTACCCAGAACACTCAAATCAGAAACCATAAATTATTTTATTGAAGTATTTTTAACCACATTGTTTCAGTTTATAACTTTTTGCTCAATTGAGACTAGTTTCGATCCTGCAGTCAAAAGCTTAAAGGTAAAACCACATAAGTGACATTTTCCACAAAAAATCTCCAAATTATGTACTTGTTACAAGAAAATTACCATCTTACTGCAGATAACACTTATTGAGTTTATAGCGTTTTTGTTATTGAATTTCACCTGTAGAAAGATAATTATTTTGTTACCATAACTATATAAATTAAAATCTTTTTGTGGAAAATGTCACTTATGTGGTTTTACCTTTAAACAGACGATATACAGTTTTGTAGGACTATGTTTAGTTAAGAACATTGTACCCCTTTTTTAATGTGTAAAATAAATAAATAATTAAGAAACTTCATTTCCTAAATTGGTCCTACCGGGAATTGAGAGACCCGAGACCTCTACATCCAACGCCCACAGTGCAAACCGTTGGACCACCTAGGTCGTCAAATTGTCTGATGCTGTAATGTAATGATGTTCTCTTTCTCAGAGACTCTATATTCTGGCTGCCGCACAACATGGACTTTCGCGGGCGCGTTTATGCGTGCCCCCCTCACTTGTCTCAACTAGGCGCCGACACCGCGAGGGCCTTGTTGCTCTTCGCTAAGAAAGAGCCGCTGGGGCCAGACGGGTTGCGGTGGCTGAAGTTGCATGCCGTTAACCTTACGGGGACTATGAAGAAAAGTACCGTCGACGAGAGGTAAATTTGCTTTTATTACAAGGAATATTAATCCTGCTGTTCTTAACAGTCATCACCAAGGTCACCAATTCTTTTAAGAGTCTATACCACCTCAAATGGCTTTGGTTCATTCCGCATAACAGTGGTAAGTGGTGAATCAATCACATTGTAAAATATTGAGGATATATACTGACTACTATATGGGTGAAAACACGATTTCTTAAAATTTTCACATTGGAAAAAAAAACAAATTTACCTCCAAATTTTACAAGAAAACCGCTGTATTTAATAGATACTTTTCGTATGTTAACAAGATGCTTAAGATACAGGTAATAATGTACTTAGTTTAGGCATCGCAACTATACTGGTAGGCTTCTAATAATTAATTGTATAGCTTTATGATTAGTATAATAATTGAGGTTTATTTTTTATTTTTTTTTACCAATTGTATATTAGCTTCCCTTACATTTGTTTTTGTTTTTTTACTTATATTTAGATTAAGTTATGCTGAAATAAATTTATCTAAATTTATCTAAAATTTAAATTTATATAACCAATGATTTTTTTTACATCAACTGAACTAATAATAATTTCGTTTTAAAAAATAAATTCTGAAATAAAGCCAGTGTTCCTGCCACTTGAGCCAAGCAAAATGAACCATATTAGTACGGGAATAATATGAATTCGATCTGGGATATTTTCGACTCTTAAAGAGCAATGTATTATTTATCTGCCTCTGTGGTCGAATGGTTACCGTGCTGTTGTGCCACGCAGAGGTCCCGGATCCGATTCATTTGCCGGGATAAGTATTGCCTACATTTATTTCTCTCGTGAGTTTGGGTATTATTTATGGTTGTCTATGTGTGTCCATGGTGCCCGACATACAGGGTTTCCCTGGTGCGTGGTTATGACTGTGTTCGTTATTATAATATATACACTTTTACTAAAAGGTGTGTATACATTTAAAAAAAGGTTAGTATTCAAAATTTGCCATTTACGAAAGTTTTAATCGTGAAACAAAAAAATTATACAAAAGTACAGTTACCGATTCGGATGTGTGACAAATTCGTGGAAGTAACCCATTCAGTTCTTTCAGATTGTTCCTAACTATTACATTATAAAATAATTATTGAAGAATTTTCTGTTGATCCAGACTAGCGTACGCGGAGAGTATCATGGACAAAATATTGGATTCTGCGAATAATCCGTTGGACGGAGAGGGCTGGTGGATGTCGAGTGAGGAACCCTGGCAGACACTCGCTTGCTGCATGGAGATCGCTAAAGCTTTGCGCTCTCCGAATCATGAAGGTAGGATTCAGTAAAACTAGTAGAATCTAGGTCTCGTAATACACGAATCGTAATACATGGATTAGAGAGAAAACATTGGGGTGCGCCCACGGAAGAAAATTTAAATATAATATAATTTAGACTTTACCCTTTACAGCATACCGTAAAAAAATATCAGTCAGTTCCGAGAGGTCCCGGGATTTGTAAAAGGGAATGTCCATGTTATTCTTTAGTTTAGCTAAATTAACTCCCTCAATTCCGATCATAGGTAATAAGTCAATAAATTAATATTTTCAACTATTCTTCAAAAGCAACGAATACGTAGACACAAATCAGGAGGTAGTAGTTTCGATTATTTTACGCTGCCAATGGCGATTTTCCACACTACAAAGGATATTATCGAGAGTACAACCTTAGGTCGCAATTAATGTGCAGAGTATCTGAGCGGGTTTCCGGTGCATCAGGACGGATCTTGCAACGGGCTGCAGCACTATGCGGCATTGGGCGGCGACGCGGCCGGCGCCGCGGCTGTCAATCTGGCGCCACTCGATCGCCCACAAGATGTCTACAGCGCTGTCGCTACTTTGGTTAGTCACATATTTACGATATTTTAGTACGCGCGAAACGTCTTAAGCCTGATAATATCAACCATGGAAGAAGATACTATACCGATACAAGATAAGTTGACCGAACTGCTAGTTTATTCGACCGATGATTCCCAAAATGTTCTGTATCGATCCCCTTAATGACAGCGGAAAAAAATAGGGGGTACATTGACGGATCTTGTCCCCAGTGTATAAGCTTGATGTACTGTTGACTAGCCCATTTGATTGGTTCTTTTCCAACATTTCTTTGATAATCTCTTTGTCTGCCGATGTGTTCAACCCACATGTCTTATGAGCAACTATACGGGCTATATCTGCCAGATGTCTTCATTTCATAACTTAATTGTGATTATGGAAGAATGACATAAGTGGAGTTATATGTCAAACACGTTTATTGCTACTTTAGATATAGGAAAATATAATCTACATCCTCTCCAATTCTTGTAAAAAAAACGTATGTTATGTTGTCTAATATACAGGTTGAAGAAATGCGTGTTCGTGACGCGGCACTGGGAGTACCCACAGCAAAGGTATTAGAAGGCTTTGTGCGTCGTAAGGTCATCAAGCAGACAGTAATGACCACCGTCTACGGCGTCACCAAGTTCGGAGCTCGCCTGCAGATCGCCAAGCAACTCAAAGGTTTGTCCATTGGTTAAAATAATCCTAGTTGCGAATATCCCACCCTCAACCATAAAGTGACCAAATTAGTCAAATAACATAACATGCCTTCCTCAAACTCGTATCTTATAAAGAGTGATTATTCAGGAGATGACAAAACTTTCTATTTATTTCAAATTTCTTATCAAGGGTGTTAGTTTGGATGCATTTCTATAAGAATAGGTAAAACCAGTATGTGAATATGAAGCCAATTTGACGTGAAATCTGCCTGCAAAATTTGTATTAAGATGACGGTAAGCTTAATATATATTTGAAATTAAGAAGCTAATATATAAATTGAAATGAAATATATTTGAAAAAGTACCAGTAAATTGGAAATTAAATTATTTTTTAGATCTAAATCGCGTAGTACTGCATTTAGCGAATAAAAAATTATCATTTATATTTCCAACTTAAAAAAAATTGAATTACTAATTGTTTTACTACCATGATATTCAATTATTTTTTTGTTATAATTATTATTAACAAAGATCGACCACTTTTCTTCACACAAATTCCTTCGTACCGTTCGGATTCGAATCGACGACGTTTTCTAGCAAACCGTGGATTTTTTCTAAGTGTTCGATCTTAGTTATTAATACTTATAACAAACTAGTGGAGCAAATTTGTTTTAATTTATCATTTGACAAAAATATTTATTTTTCGTATTTTTACACTCTGTTATTGAAGGTGCGATATGTCAGCACGCTTTAGAACCGAAAATCGCCTTTACATGGTACAATTGACTATGTAGCAGTGAAAATACAGGCTATTGATTTTAAATAAACGAGGTGAATCTAGTCAGTAATTTTAATTACTTTTACTATGTTGTACCTGCTTGATCAATATATTGTATGAGGAAAATTCTTACAAAATCTCGAAATTCTTTGTTCTTTAAGTTTATAAAACAAATTGATTCTTGCCGTAAAATTAATATTTAATAGCAAATTATACATCCAGATGAGTTATTAGTAGCAGTAAGCTTACACAAAATATTACATCTAAAAGTAAGTTTATATTGCTATTTTTCTTATTTTATGATTTATTTTGATTTCGTCATTCCCCTCGAATTTTCTGCCCACCCTCTTCTTATTCTTAAAAGTCATTTATTTTAGGGGCCACTATATCATCAAAAACTATTGTACTATGACATTTACAAAAAATAAATACTGTAGTACGTTACCAACTGTCCACCTATACACGACATCAAGGAAAGATTTTCCACCATAGTATCTGTATTTTTATGTACAGTATACTTTTACCATTGTCTTTGCAAGTCTTTCTTTGCGTACTACCACTACAATTCATGTATGGAGTAGGGTGGCCCATACAAATACTAAGTCTTCCTAATATTTTTATAAATATCGAAAGCATGAATTTCGGAATTTCATGACATTTTTTTTTATACAAATGTAAGTGCGCATTTGACCTCCATCTCACCTGATAGAAAGTGACGATGATAAATGATGCCTACTCACTCTCGCCTTGAAAAGGTCCAAGTTATAACGTTCAGGGAACAAGTCAGGCAGGGAATTCGACTCCATAGCCGTTCGCCATATAAATTTCGAAGCGTGACGCTTCGTGCGAATCTTTCGAATATCCACAACATAGGGGTGGAATCCAAGCCCACGTCTAGTCCCCGATGATGGAAAGGGGAAGACGGAGTTAAATCGTGTAATTCCATCATTAAAGTTACTCATATACTAAATGACGACATTTTCATCCTATATGTATTTGTTCCAGACATCGATGAGTTTCCCAAAGACCAAGTGTGGTCCTGCTCGCAGTACTTAACGGCTCGCACGTTCGACAGTCTGCGCGAAATGTTCACCTCCACTAAGCTCATTCAAGACTGGTTCACCGACTGCGCCAAGTCAGTAACTTTCGATAAGTACTACAGAATGGCACTTAAAGAGTTACCTGAGACACGTCTGTACTACAATTTAATTTTTCTTATCGTATCGATGGCATACACTATATTATCGCGGCCCAGAACTTAGCCACACTGTGTTACCATCGTGGTGAAAGGATTTGCTTATCGGCGTAAGTTGAAAGAAATACAATTTGTACATCATTACGGGAAGACTCCTTTCGTGCTCCTCAAAAAATAAAAAAAATATCAAGGATAACTGTCAATTTTAATCACATATGCAACAATTTACATTGTTTAGTGTAAGGAAGCCTGTACCCAGCAGTGGGTGAAAGTAAAGGTCGAGTAAAGGGTCTTGGTTAAGGCTTTATGAGGGTAACCTATCACAAAATTGATTTTTTTTCCGAAATAACGTTTGTTCGAACGTTCATTACACAGAAAACCAAATTATAACGAAACCGTTGTTCTTTCAGTATATGTTGGATGTTTATCGCCAAAACACGATTAGGTTTGGTTAGGTTAGGTTAGTTTAGGTTTAAAAGAAAAACATTTTCCTCTCAAAATTACTTTCGAGGTTATGAAAATTCGAGCAAACGTTATTTTTAGAAAATGTCATTTCGAGCTACTGACAGGTAACCCTTTATGAGAGTAGTCATGTCAAGTCGTTTTTTTAATTTTTTTTTTTATAATACCAAGTGACAGGACGAACAAGTCGTGCGTCTGGTGGTAAGCGACACACCTATCCATAACAGTTGCAGTGCCACTCAGAGCTTTAAATCTCAATGATCTTAGGGGCATTGCCACTGCGCCCGTCATAACTTGACAAGTCCCATGTGCCCGTAATTTCACCAGCACCCTTCTAAGCCGGAACGCAGTAATGCTAATATTATTGCTTGGCGGCAGAAATAGGTAACGTGGCAGTACTTCCCTGGACGAACTCTTGCAAAGAGCTCTACCTACTGTTACTAAAACACATTGTCATTCACAGTCATTCATAGAACATGAGCCCATAGCCTGTCAGTCCGCACCCCTTTATCCATCACAGCCCGCCATATGTAGCAAATTGGCGTCAAAACAGGTCATAAAGTAAGAGATAACCTTTTCCTTCCTTCCTTTAACCTTCAGCTACCGACAACGTTGTTAGGTATTGAAAATGTTAAAAGTTATAAAGCTACCAGAATCTGATGACAAAGACCGAATATAAAAATTGTTATTAGTAGCGATACTAAAATAACTCAAATATATTTGAGTTATTTTTTTTTTTAACATCCAATGCAAGGAAAATGTGGCATTGTGTTATTATTATTTACGTTATTAATTAAAATAAATGCCATTGAATTTATGAATACTATTTATTATTTTATTGCAGTATGTTGTTTTACCTTACAACCTTTTTGGATAAGTGTCTAAATCGAAATGGGAGAATATGCGCTTTTTGCGTAAATAAGTGACGAAAGGTGATATTCTTACTTTTCTTTTAGCCATGTTTTCACATCTAATCGATAATAAATCTACCTATTTGTTTTTTAAATTCCGTGTCATGAGATTCGTTTAGACTTATCGATGATTGTTATGACATAATATTTATTGTCGCTTTAGGCTAATTTCGGGCGTATGCGGTGAGAGCGTGGAGTGGGTGACGCCTTTGGGTCTTCCCGTAGTGCAGCCTTACTACCGGCGCGCTGGGCCCATCGTTACTGCGTCACCAACGCGCGCGCCAATCGACCATCACCAGTACGTATATTGAGCTATATTTGTGGCTATCGGTACAAAAGTGGTGTAACCCACGCTTGGTTTTTTTTTGTACAATATTACTTTGAATGATAGTAGGAAGGCTCCTACTATCATTCAAAGTAGTCTATGCGCACTACTTTGAATGATAGTAGGAGCCTATAGTAGGAGCATGCACACTCATATTTTATACGCGCCCTAAACGTGCGTCATCTGCGTGTATACGCGCCGCAGACGCGCTGTAATAAATTGATTCAAACGTGCGCAAACATCGCGTTGCAAGCTAGAAGCTTATATGTTCCACTGGAGTTTCATGTAGTTGCTTCATTTCCTAAAAGTAACTGAAATTAACAAACGAAACTTAAAATTAAAACTATCTTTTATCACAATGCGCGATACATACCCGCGTCTGCTGACACGCGTTTACTGCGCGTATCCACGAGTCGTTGGCGTGTGTAAAATACGCCATGTGTATACGCTTTAAAGTACATAATTATTATATATTTGGATGCTATTTCCATGTATAAAAAGATTTAATAATGAAATATTTTTTTATGTGTAATATCACGGTGGGAACATATCGCACATGACAACTACATAATATTTGGAAATGAAAGTATTTTTCCGGATTTAAATCGCGTGTATTTGTTTTTTCAAACAAACCGACGTTTCGGTCCCTTTACAGGTCCCATGGTCACGGTTGACTGAGGTGGTACAGTCTTCAACCAGTTATGTCTAATATTGATGCAAACCACTCTATTTTTTCACTATAGTTACAATAGTTATTAATTATATACCTTATTTTTAATTTTACAAAGAAAACATTCCAATTTACGCTATATTAAGTTTTACAAATTATTTTATCGAATGAATTTTTATTAAGTTCATTTTATTATTAATTATTAATAGAAATTAGAATAAACTAAAACATATTAATTAGTACTGCACTCTTATGTCTGTTTGGGATTTTTCATTAGAGGAAATACTGGATCCCAAACTGGTGGAAACCATCTTCCCTGTTGAAATTAGGATGTTTTTTAATTTCAATGGCCTCTCGCAGCATCCTGGGTAGATAATAAAATAAAATAGTTTCATTTTCTAGGTGTAACAATCGATATCGAGTTCTTAGGTTTTCGCGATTGAATACCTAAGAACTCGATACATAATATTATCTCAAAAATTGTGTAATGTTGTATTTTATCTCAAAATTGCGTTATATTAATAATTTATCTCCAAAATTTCGCTATATTTATGTGTCATTCATATACGATTTATTTTAAAGTGACAGACAACACTGTCCCTTTAAAACGAAATAGGTATTATTAATATAACTGAAAGCCATTTTGAGATAATATTATATTAGTTGTCATATGTGATATGCTTCACTAGTTACTCTGAATCTTATAGGTTCACCTGAATCCATGAACAAGTCATGGTTCTTCTTCTTTAGGGTACTCCCAGATCCATGCCTGGTCTGTCTCGTCAAACCATGAAGGGTTGGAGGGCATGCTATTGTACTATCGACAGTTACCTTGTGTGTATATATAATATACAATTTAAAAATCCCTTTTGTCGCTTTCAGACGTCCATGTACAATGAAGCAGCGCAACGCGTTTCCGCCAAACTTCATTCACTCTTTAGACTCCTCGCACATGATGCTGACCGGGCTACACTGTCAAGCCGCTGGCGTCACCTTTGTCTCCGTGCATGATTGTTTCTGGACGCATCCCGCCTCTACTCGTATTATGAACAAGGTGAAATAAATAAATAAAATAATTAATACAATTATGTCCACTACCTCGGTGGCCGAACGGTTACCAAGCCGTACTGCCATGCAGAGGTCCTGGGTTCGATTCCCAGGCCGGGAGAAATATGTGTATGACCTACATTTATTTCTCTCGTGAGTTTGGGTGTAATTTGTGGTTGTCTATGTATGTGTCCATGGCACCCGCGACACAGGGTTTCCCTAGTGCGGGGCTATGTTGAGTGTGTGCGTTATTAATTATGTCCACTGTTCTACCAACCTGTATGTTCTACACTACGCCCAACGCTAAAAACTACACTGCGTTAAAATCCTAATTTTCTTCAATTCCGGAAACTCGGTCTCGACTACTGTTGTGTAATATGTTTGAGTATATGAGTATATATGATTTCTAGTGCTTGAAATCATACTCAAGTCCTGACTTGAGCATTGAGTAGAGGTCTGGAATACGACCCTACGTCACTTAATTAAACACTATTAAAAAACCTACTAAACCAACAGTATTTTTTATTCTGGTAACATAGGCATGGCATGGCAACACTGTAGAGTGGACCTGTAGTATAATCTGTGAACATTGAATAATGATCGTAATAAAACGACGACGCCATTTGAAGTTACACTAAACGCCATTTGTTTTTTACGCATACTATAAAAATTTGAATTAATAAAAAAATTGATTAAAATATCATGTTTTGACTGCCTAAAATGTTTTGAAACCTACTTTTGAAATAGTCTCGAAAATCTTGTTTTTATTAGGATTTTCGTGACCTCGTCTCGATTTTCCTTTTCATGAAACGCGGAAATGCAACAGGACTCAAATCGTTATCGCATTTTCCTATAAATTTAAGCCAGTCTAAATATTGTACAGCATAATATATTTTTTACAGATATGTCGCGAACAATTCGTGGCTCTTCACTCTCAACCGATTTTAGAAGACTTATCTGATTTCCTTGTGAAGAGGTACAGCTATGATGACAGGTATGTATATGTCACAGTAGGATCGCGCAATTTTGTGTTTTCGTATAATAGATAGGGTTAAATAAATAAGGGTTCTTACTAGATGATTCCGGTGAGGTGATTAACCAGATATAACTTATGATAGCGGCACCACAACAGCCGACGCGTTATGTGTAGCTCGGGTTTTAGAGACGCAGCGCGCTACATAGACGATGACGGTGATATAGTAGCTGTTTTTTAGTAGCAGTAGAGAGCTCCTCGTGAAAGAGCTCCTCCGGGATAGTACAGCCACCTTACCTATTTCTGCCGCCGAGCAGTAATATCAGCCCTAATGTGTTCCGGTTTTGAAGGGTAAGGTTGCTGGTGAAATTACAGACACATGGGACTTGTCAACTTATGTCTCAGGGTGACGCGTGATAAAACGCGGTATCTCTGTGCGAGAGTAGCAGTATGTCACGCTTTATGTCGCTCTCGTGTAAGTCGCGTTCAAAAAGAGATATTTCATTGTAATTTAGACCTGATATTAATTGGAGACCGTCGTCTACTCAATAATTTTAATGCATATGTATCATGAGTAAATTTATAAGGAGCTTATTGATTTTATTGAATATTGTGAAGTTCTACAAATATCGAATGCAAAGAAAAATGATACAAAAAAAACCGAAAAATCCCGATATAAAAGATTTGTTACAAACACACAGTAAGGTCTGCTGATTGGATCTATAGTTCGATTGGTAGGGCAGTTGCCCTAGATTGGCATACAGACATACAGAGTCCTGTCAGATCCAAGGAATTTTTCTTTGTATTCGATTTTTATATTGATAATTTATAAGTAGCTGTCAAAGTAACTAAAATTTAATCTTGTCCTTTGACAGATGCACTGAACATATTTGAGTGTTGTTGACATTTGCGCGATTATTTCTCTTTCAGCGAATTGGAAGATCGCAGTGTCGGCGCGTCGAATAAGAAACGCGTGAACAATCTCCTCAAGAAAGTCCCCGGCAAGGGAGACTTCGATCTTTCCAGCGTGCTGCGCTCGGTTTACTTTTTCAGCTGAGCCCTTAGCGCGGTGTGTGACATTTTCATACTTTTTTACAATGTCCACGGTGTTTGTAGTAGACCGATTGCGTCTTTCTAGAATGTATTTAAAGCAGAGTTCAAAGCGAGGAAAAGCATACAAATTTTTAAAATAGAACTTATTTACGATTTCTCAAATATAAAAAAAAAGCAAAGACTGCGCTCGGCCTTTTGTCGGGAAGTCTGAAAAAATACTACGAATATAACACTTGCATACTGTTGACTTTGATTGAAGTTAATGTAAAATGCTAATCTGCATGCAAGTATTTCTTAATCGATATGCGGTTTTAAATGCAACGTCATACGATAGTGCCTTTCACGTTCAATACTTACTTACCACTTTTTGTGTTATTATACATAATGAATTTAGTGTACGTTTATTGACGTACAGTCATAAGCAGAGATTGGAATTGAGGGAGTTAACTTAGCTAAACTAAAGAATAATGTGGACATTCCCTTTTATAAATCCCGGGACTAAATTAGCTAAACTAAATAATAATATAGACATTCCCTTCTACAAACCCGGTACTTCTTGGAATTGATTATAATTGACTAATATGCGTATTATTTATTGTAATTTGAGTACTTTGGCAACAAATTATTATTTCCTATTAAGTATTTCCTACAAATTATTATCTCAAAAAATAATATTGTACTTGTGTTTCTATAGGCACTTACGTAATTAAATACGTGAACTATGTAAAAAATAAACACGAGAAAACGTATATTTTGTAATGTTTAGAAAATAAGCAGAAAAAAAAAATTTATATGCATTGATATTGTAATATGGATTTTGGTTTTTTTTTGGTCATATCACGAAATGGGTATGTCCATAAGTTAACTTCCTCAAGATCACTGACTTAAGAAAGAATTTGGGAAGGTACGTAAAATTGAAAGATGCAATCTAGTTTATGTTAGACTGACGATATTTTTAAGATGGTTAAACTCTGCCTTTTTTATTGTAAGTAATTATTATCAATACGTAATTTTATATTACTACTGCTCTGCTGGCTCAGTGACCCAAAAACATCCGAAACGAGATTACGCCACTTTCTTCGGTCATGTTGCTGACTCTTGCCAATCATTGGCTTGAAGTTCGCGCAGGTGCGCTCCTACGGCGTCGCTCCAGCGATACCAACTAGTTTTTATCCAGTGAGTCGACTCAGTTAGACTATACTCTCGATCTTCTCTCATTCATTCTAAATGATCGAGGCAGGGGAGTCCGTGCGTTTTAGTTGCGCCGATGATGTTTGCCTGGGCGATGAGCTCTTCTAATTTGATACATTATATATTGATGTTTATAACTACTGCCATATTAACATTGTCAACTTGGGGTTAAACAGCTACAATACTCTTGGTTTCCACCGTTTCCCTCTTTCTCTGATTCAAAAGTCCGCGGTATGTCTAAAAGAGTAGAAAAACGGTCAGATCTTTCTCATCACGAGATTGATCTCTCTTCTTAGGTTTGTTATCTGTACACAATAAAAATGCTTCCACAGATTGCCTATACTTTTGTAGAGTAAACAAATTTTAATTACCTAGTTCATATGGGTCTACCTGAATCTCACAAAAATGGGGAAATTTAAAATATCTTGCCACACTTATGAATTATTCTTGTTAATTTCAATATTCTGCGCATGGGAAAAATTATACTTTGGTCCACTACAATTATTATCACATGGTAGACTCATAGTCATTTACTGTTAGTGCCATTTTGTTTTTTCATGTGGTGTGAAAAATTACAGAATAAAATTATTCCCTAAAGAAGAAAAGATGTTGAAAAGGGGATAAAAATATCGACTTTTTTGTGAAATAAAAGTTATTAATACTACAAATCTGGCCATAGAAACATAATTTAGAAAACGGTACCTCGCTAGTTGTATTTATCGTACTGTATTTATTGTACGTATGCCTATACTTATAAAATTTAGCTTGATTATAGTCCGTTTTTATTGAAGATGGAAAAATTTGACATTTGCAGGGTTGCCAGTTTTCGTAAAATTTTAAATAGTCATGTAGCTATTGTCGATAGATTTATCGATAGGTTGGAAAGATGATAATAGTTTCCAAAAAATGTATGAATTGTGAGACTTATAACATTCTAATGATTAGTAATTGCGTTATCGCCGTCTTTACTCTTATTTTGACGTTTGGCCCGCGAGTATCAAAATCAATTCGTAAAGTATCTACAGACGCACGTTCAAATTATTGCCCTATTGTAGACTATGTACAATACCACCTGAACTCGTTTTTATTCATATACAATTTTAATAATGATAGTTGGATTTGGTTATCTATACTGAATTAAAATGAAAAACCACAAAATTTCCCTTTTTTATTTTTAATAGATATGATGAACTTACAAAAGTTGACAATTCAAATGTATATATTCAATATTGTATGTATTCAAATGTATAAATTTTACAATTCAAATGTACTTATAAAATCTACAATTCAAATGTTGACTTAAAATTAAATATGTATAATGCACACTGGGCGGATTCACAAATTACGAAACAAATGTATACATATATACGTGTTTCATATACATTTTTTTTAATTCGAAATTAAATCTCTTCTGTGTTAGACGAGGTAATGGTATCGTCGGAATCCGATACATGTATAATAAATGTATCACATACGTCGTCAATTAAATGGTCGAGTTGGCGCATTTTCGTTTCGACATCGTTGATAACGTGGTCTACACAATTTTTCCACTTTTGTGGCGTTACATTAGTTATCCCTTCTCCAAGCAATATTTTAACTTCATTCATTTTAAAAGTTTTGTTATTTCTTGCGACGTGCCCCTTTACCTGTGCCCAAACTAACTCCGAAAAACCCGAGTGCTGGCCCATCTCTGGTGCGAATTACGCAATTTGACTGTAATGATAGCTTTAATTGACAAACACGTCGTACGCCAAGATTTCTGCACCTAAACAACTACAGCAAGTTATTTAAATAATCTGCCAAAGTGAATATTGATTTGCGAATGATTACCTTGGCAATAGTTGGACCTTCGTTTCGAAAAAAGAATTGATGAACCTTGCGTCTTATGGCCTCCAAATGGAATTCATCGAATTTTTGTATGTAGCTTTTTCGCCTGCCTTTCGGTTTAGGGGGCTGAAAGTTCATATTTTCGCATTTTTCTTTTAGAACTGTATAAACAGTTGAAATGCCCAGAATGTCAGCCGTTTTTTTAGCACATTCTGTTTTACTGGCAGCTTCTAAAAGATTTGGATCGCAACCCTTGTTTTCTTCCTGAACAATGTATTTATATACATTCTCCGTCATCATCTTCTCAGTAGTACTGAGAGCAATACGTTGTCTTTTCTTTCGAGGCGATAAAATGCCCGAAGAAGTGGATGGTCCTGGGTTGTCCATATTGCGATGCAATACGCAACAAATACAGTAACAAAAAAAACTTAACAAAAACTTAACACGATAACAGAAAACAATAACGTGAACTAACAAAAGAAACGTAATAAGCGCGAGCGCAAGTGAGCACATCCGAACAAGCCAAAGAGTGGTAGTCGAATGCGGCAAATTCTGCCGGCCCGCTGTGCCCGTGCGGCAATTTATTTATTTGTTTAAATTTTAGTAGCTACTTTTGTCTATAATAAATAATATAATAACGACTCGCATATACCAATTACCAGCATAAGTAAAGATGACGTATATTTTTATTATACAGTTTTTTACGTTTTTCAATGTTAATTTATAATAAAAAAAATAAAAGCAATAGTAGCCCAGCAGTGGCACGAATAATGGGCCGATGATGATTCAAATTTAACAAGTTCGGACAATCATTGCGTAAGCGTAACCAATATTCAGTCGATAATTCATTCATTCATTCATTCATATTTATCGACTGCAATCACTAGCTACTTGAGATCGGGCAACACTTTTGCGCAACGAATTGTCAAATTTTTCCATCTTCACTAAAAACGGACTATAGAATAACACATATGTCAAACTTTATGAACCAGTGATGGGACACAACATCGAGAACCGATATTAAAATATATCGACTTTTACTCCGTATTTACGACATTTTAATCCGTATTATAATATCATGGCATTAACTACAATGGCGAATAGGCGTGGCGCTATTATTTGTTCATTTTTAGTTTATTCTCCATAGATGTAACCGAGTATACCTAAATAATAGTATATTGGTACACATATTGCATAAAAATTTACCAAAAACACAATTTAGCTCAAAATAACATGAGTAAAACAAAAGTAAATCATCAATCAAATCAACATTTTAAATATTGCTGCCGAACCATTTCATTTCTAGAGTCGATCAACTCACGACTCTCTATTTTCTACGTGTCCCGTCGCAATGTTTTTTCATCCTACGCAATTTATCGTGTGAAGGTGTGAAAATAAACATTAATGGTATTTTATAGTGAATGCACTCCAACAGTGATTTACCAAAACTTTGTGGCGGTAACATAAATATGCAAAATAATTAATGTTTAGTGGTGTTTAAAATAATAATTTGTAATTACAAATTGACGTTTTCCTAATTTTGCCGATCTGTCCAACTAACTTTAACGGAGAATAACATACACAAACCTAACATTTATTTGTTATAAGCATGTTTAAAGAACTATCGGCCATCCTTTGAATGTAAAGATTAGGCTTCGTTGAAAATATAGAAAATGAGGGTACTGTTTGTCAACCACGTTTGTGCACGTTGATTAGTTGAGAGCAATTCAACAGACAATCTGTGATTTTGTTAGATGTTTAATAAAGTAAGTTGAAAAAAGCATTTGTTTTATTGTCTTCTAGTCTAACCATGTTTTTTTATTTTCATTATATTAGTTTCATTTTAAAAAAAAATCAAAATTATGACAGCTAATCAGGAAACAAAATTCAAAATATATTTTATTGAACACGATGTTCAACATTACCATGATACTTGTATATTTTCGTGAAAATACTCCACTGGTTAACTGACTGAGACTACTTGGAATGACTTTTCCCACTAGTTCTATTATTGAAATATAATTTAATAGAACTACTAGGACCACAAACCATGGGACTTTTTGTTTCAGTAGTTTTATAATAGAACTATTCAATAGAACTAGCGGGAGCGAAGGTACGCTGTTGCGCAGTTGGTAAGATCGGTGGCAACAGACGCTGGTTCGATGGAAGAAATTTTTCTTTGTTGTTCGATTTTGGTATCTTCTCATCGTATCGATGGCATACACTATATTATCGCGGCCCAGAACTTGGTCGCGCTAATAACGCCATCAGTAGCCGCCATCGCGCCATTCTGAACTGTGCTTGAGATATGTTTGCCATTGTGGTGAAAGGATTTACCAATCGGCGTAAGGTCGCCGATTGTTAACCAGATTGTGCCAGACGTACTAGAAAATGATTTGTACGCCATTGCGAGGCTCCTTTCGTGCACCCCAACTACTTACGGAGTACAGTCAAGAGCACGTCAAGCTTGGCACTTTGTACTTTGGACCGTTCTTATCGTAAGCGGCATAGAGTTCGATTTAATAAATCTTAAGTGTCAAGCATGACGTGCTCTTGATCATATAATAGGGTGAAATAAAACAAAAATTTTAAAAAAGCTGCATTTGTTTCTGGTACAAATTTTCTACTGGTACACAGTTACTATTACCGCCCACGCCTACCGAAATTTCATTCACACTTTTTACTCCACCATTCGACAAAATCAAATGGATTATATTCTTTCGGCGTGACGTTTACATTAACGATATCTAACATTGATTCTATGACATAATTTAATCTTGCTAAGACAAATGTGGCTCCGCAAAGTGTACAATTTTTGGCTTTGTGCAGTCTACGATAGCATTTTACTACCACCTGCGAAAATATTCTAGAAAATTTAATTAATTAAGAAATTAGTTTCTCTTTCGAACAATTGAGGCAATCAATAAATACATGAAGTAATCAATTCCTAATTACAATTATATTAAATCACTTTCAATTTCTTTCTTCACTCTTCTCAGGCCCCTTGCACAAAATGCACATATGTAATATGTGAAGTGATGTCAGATCCAGACAATATTCAAGCGCTATATATTCTATATAATATGACCATAGATTATCTATAAAAATGTTTTTCATTCTAAACTGAGCTGAGGGCACACTTGCCTGGGCCTAAGTATGTAATTATATTTAGAACATTTTAATGTTATAAAATAAAGTACATTCTTGGGCGATTAGCGCTTCAAATGTAGTTTGCTGGGTCTTGGGAGGTTAACATTACAACGGACATAAATAAGTTATTATATCTGCTTTGGGGTACAGCTTTCACTATAAATATTACATTGTTAATTTATTAGTAAATAAATAACATTTATGTAATAAATTAATAATACACGCATACATTGGGTAACTTTTCCCTTAACTTTCAAATTATTATTAAGACGCGATTACATTGAATTTGTCCACATATTTGTTTTGCTGCTATTGCATTATTCAACGTATCGTTATCCTACGAAATAGGTTCTAAATACGTTCGTTCTTGCACTTCACACGAGGGAACTTCATCATTTGTACGATTTACTTTCTACTAATAGTAATATATTAATTAAAGTGACTTTGTTAACGTAAGGGATAGGACATATTCATTCAGCAATTTCCTCGTTACTGCCGAAATATGTCGTACAATAACGACAGTAACTGTCTTTGTTTGGTCTAATTCCGTTGAAGTTGTCACGTGCTGGAACCCTTGGCGTACTCGTCGCATACATTGGTCTATTTGACAGACTCGAAGAAAACGGTCGACAGTTTATCAATTTCCCCATTTAGCATGTGAGAATTGTTAGATTTTTTGAACGATACATTTTTCATCAGGACTCGCATTCGTTGGGAAGTCGACGTCGAGTCGAAACGCGGAACGTATGAACACCCTCATACTGCTTTATTAAAAAAAAAAAAAGAGCGGCTGCCGACTGTCTGTTGGCTTGGAGGACCGTAAGGCTCCATTCAGAGTCTCGGAGAGAAACACCCGAGAGCCGTAAAAGTGAGTGGTTTTTTCACCGTTTCGTTTTCGCGCTCGTCTATTATCCGATCATTGAAGGTATTTTTGCCCGCTTCAAAGGGTTTCTCGGGCGAGAAAGAGAACGATATCATATTCTTGCTCGGTCTCAGTACGATGTGAAAAATGAGTTAAACCATTAATTTGTGTTGTCCACCAGGAGCTTATTTTCCCTAGTAACATTATTCACAAGATTATAGTAAGCTAATATACATAATACCAAAGCAGCGGCCATCCATATTGAATAGGGATGAGAACGTAAGTGAGATATATCCTGAGTGAGTGAGTACCGAATGTTCCTGAGAAGTCTTGTCGCAGAGACTTCTCGCCGTAAGTCTTAAGGCCCTACAACATGCGAACCGGTATTTGCTTATAAAATATTGAAAATATTATCGATTGAGAAATAGCCCTTTTGTTTATATTTCTGAAGACCAGTGCGAGAATGATGGTATTTTGCGCCATGTACGTGCACAGATACATGTATATGTGTAATATATTATTTATACCTATAGGGTAGGGATATTACATGCCGAGTTTTGTGTTTTCTTTTGAAATACGCCTAAATCAAGTTGGCGACAGTAATGCCAAACCTAAGGGCATATAATATTTAAAACGGTTGTTTATCTGTCTGAGGAGATTTTAAGATAAAAATCCCAGCACTCATGTACTGAGGAGACTATTGGACGAAAAAAATCCAAAAGCTCCGTCACGGGGCAACTTCAAGGGAACATAAGGATTACCCTTAACTCACCTTTAACGGCTTTCTTTTCATCGACCTGCTTACAACTAGACGTCCTACAACGCGTCTTTCAGCTTGCGTACACCACTCGGGATTATTTGAACCTCTTATTAGGAAATGACTTATACCTAAAAGATATTTTCGTACAAATGACAAAGAATCAACCAACTTCGCTTCTACACCAGCGCGTGAAAATATCAGCGGTCAGTGACGGTGTTTGTGATATTGTCGAATGGTCTTGACGCTGGTGTAAGGGCGGGCGCTGGGATCTGCCGACGCCTGCGACCCGCTTGTCGTCGTGCGCTGACTCAGATCTGATGGGCTGCTCAAATCAGAAACATTTTTTCTTATGATGATTAGGAAATTAACAACTTCCAGAAACACTCACTTCCGCGTTAGACTTAATTTACATTGCCGTTTTTGTATCCGAATTGTACATAGCAAAATAAACTTTAAGGGCTCATTCAGATTGCAGGCGCGGGCGCGCGGGTCATGGCGTCTTCCGTTTCACAGTGCCGAAGCGGTTAAAACCGTTAGATCCACACGTCAAAGTTACAAACAGATGCTAGCCGCTAGACCAAGCATTGTGAAAGGTACGGGCGGACCGAGCCAATAGACCTAACTAACTCGTGCCCGCCTTGACACTGGCACTGTGAACGCAACGAGCGTCTACGTACATGTGAATTATACGCACCCGCGCCCGCCGCCACTGTAAAAAAAAGCCTATGCCAATTGTGTACCGTACAAACTAAATACAAAACATTAGTTGCAGGAATTACCAAACTGCGCGAGAATACTTAGATTTTTTTGGCTCATCGTCTCTAGTTTGTACGTTACACAATTAACATAAAAGTTAATTATGTTAAGTTAATTATGCTATGGTTACAAAAATTCGCTTCCGTTCCGCGGCAATGTAAACTGAGTCTTAGAGTCCATATCAGTTTCGAATCCGAGAAATGACGGTCCGAAATGACACAGCGATCATTTTATCTCTATGTCTACAAGCAATATTTGTATTTTCTCGGATTCGAATCGACTTAGTGCTCAAGCGACATTCGAAGTGGGTCCGAGTTTTCTAGATTAGATTTAGAACAAACACGCGCAAACGCGCTAAAGGTCTCATTACTTTCTCACTATGACAATACGCGCTAATGGCGCCTTTAAATTAGACGCTTGAAGAAGCGCTGCCGTGGTGCGTCTGTAGCGCTTTAGTAATTTTTAGTTCACTTATTGCAAAAATGTGACAGCGGCGCTGCAACTGCGTTTCTGTTTTTTTTAACATCCCCGTACTAGGGAAAGCCTGTATCGCGGGTGCCATGGACACACATAGACAACAATAAATTACATCCAAACTCACGCGAGAAATAAATGTAAGCCATACAAACACATTTTACCGGCCCGGGAATCGAACCCGGGACCTCTGCGTAGCAGACCAGCATGGTAACCATTCAGCCACGGAGGTAGTTAATGTTACGTCAATATTGTATGAAAATCAGTAGTGGTGCTACTGCATCGTTTCTATAAGTGTCTAATTTGAACGCCATTATCCTGCTTCATGTGAAATGTGTCGTGTCTAGTGACTGAGGGTCGTATTCCAGAACTCTATTCAATACTCAAGTCGGAACTTGAGCATTGCAGGGAGCCCTGAAAATCATACTCAAGTCCTTGTCATTAGGGTCGTATTTTCAGTGCTTGAAATCATACTCAAGTCTGCTCAAATCCTGACTTGAGTATTGCAGTGAACACTGAAAATCATACTCAAGTCCCTGCCATTAGGGTCGTATTTCCAGTGCTTGTGTTGCCAGTGCAATCCTGACTTGAGCATTGAATAGAGTTCTAGAATACGACTCTAGGACTACTTTAAAAGTTTACCTCGGACTTAAATTTTCTACATCGACGTTATGCAAACAGATCCATTGTGACGTCAAGTTTTCATCATTTTTGGCACAATCCAGTGTTCCGTTGTATATCAACAAGTCGTCCATTAGAACCTACAAAGATAGATAATGTCAGCAAAAATCAAAATTATCTTCGTGGTATTTAACAAATATGTGTGACAAAATACTTACTCCGAACTCTTTGACACCTCTATTAGGTGTTTTACCATAGTTCCAAATCTTCATACCGTAGACGGACACTGGTACATCAAATACAAAAAATACCCTGAAACAATATTTTGAATATTCAAGACACGTAACAAATGAATTATACTCTTTGCTAACTAGTCACTCAAAGTAACATTGGAAAATAGCA